TATGCTGATTTTAAGTCCTTTGGGTATGAACTGAGGAGTGGGATAGTGGGTCAAATAATGTTTCCATTGCAAGCTTTCTGAGGAATCTCAATACTGCTTTCCAGATTGATTGCACCAATTTGCAGTCCCACCAGCAATGTATTAGTGTACCTTTTCCCCCATGTCCTTGCCAACATTTATTATTGCTTGTACACTTGATAATTGCTATTGAATGATTCATAAAAGACAAACAGTATTATACTGAGAACTTAGATCCAAAAAGGAGGGAAATTAGAATACCTAGAAGGACAGAATCCTGGAAGAAAACTGGCCCATAGTATGTGTTATGATTATGAACTATCAAATTAGTGTTTCCATTATGCAGTTTTAACCCTTATGAAGTGGTTGATATATATTCTGCATTATAGGAATTTGTACCATTGTCTTAGAATGTGATAAGGTATATCAGACTGCTTTTTACTTTACTTTAATTAAAATGAACTTTATTTCTAAAAGGAGAAAACGTATTTTTCACACTTTTTTCCCCAGAGTTAATCTGTATGCTACTGTGACTGTGAACTTCTTTTATACCTGGTGTTAGGGGCCTTCTAACATTGTTCACTTGAGTGTGTTGGGGAGGGTAGGTTAGGTGTTGCCCACTCATGTAATCCTAGATCCTCAGGGGCCTGAGGCAAGTTAGAGACAAACCTGGATAACTTAGCAAGACCCTGTATCAAAATGAAACAAAAAGGGGCTGGGGATGTAGCTCAGGGGTAGATGGCTTGCCTAGTACGGGTGAGGCTGTGGGTGGAATAATAATAATAAAAAAGTAGGTATGTATAAGAGGAAGTTAAGGATAGAAAAACAATAATGAGAGAGTTCCAAGGTGTCACAATGTGAAATATTGTTTAATGTGTATTGACCTCAATGTGGATAACTACTTGTGAAGGCTTGGACTAAATGCATGTATGGAGTGCTCAACACTTGCTAATTTGTTTCCTTTTCCTCATCCTCTTTTCTATGTTAAAGGTGTCCAAACAATATAGAAGCACTAAATGTAACAGACATCTTAGAATTCCATCTCCTGGGTCTCTCAGCTGATCCAGAATTGCAACCTGTCCTCTTTGGACTGTTCCTGACCATGTACCTGATCACAGTGTTTGGGAACCTACTCATAGTTATGGCCGTCAGCTTTGACTCCAACCTCCACACCCCTATGTACTTCTTCCTCTCCAATCTGTCCTTGGCTGACATCTGTTTTACCTCTACCACTGTTCCGAAGATGATTGTAAACCTCCAGACTCACAATAGAACCATCTCCTTTGAGGGCTGCCTGACACAGATGTCTCTTTTTCTCATTTTTGGATGCATGGATGATCTGCTTCTGACTGTGATGGCCTATGACCGTTTTTTGGCCATCTGTCACCCCCTGCATTATCCAACCATTATGAGCCCTAGACATTGTGGCTTTTTAGTTTTGGTGTCTTTTTTGGTTAGCCTTTTGGAATCCCAGCTGCACAATTTGATTGCATTACAGTTTACTACTTTCAAGGATGTCAAAATTGCTAATTTTTTCTGTGACCCTTCTCAGGTCCTCAGTCTTTCCTGTTCTGGCACCTTTGTCAATATCATGTTAATGTCTTTTGTTGGTGCTCTATTTGGTGTTTTTCCCATCTCAGGAATCCTTTTCTCTTACTATAAAATAGTTTCCACTATTCTGAGAATCCCATCCTCAGGTGGGAAATATAAAGCCTTCTCTACCTGTGGGTCTCACCTATCAGTTGTTTGTTTATTTTATGGAACAGGCTTTGGAGTGTACCTTGGTTCAGCTGTGTCACATTCTTCTAGAAAATCTGCAGTGGCCTCAGTGATGTACACAGTTGTCACCCCCATGCTGAACCCCTTCATCTACAGCCTGCGGAACAGAGACATTAAAAGTACCCTAAAGAGGTTCCACAATAGAATCATCTAAACCTCAGGATCTTTGATGTCCATTTGATGGATAGTTTGGAAAAAGCAATAATAGCTAGCACTTAGACCTGTAAATCCCAATCCTTTGGTTACATTATTTTCTAGTTGATAACTTTAATTTCTCATGTTTCATTGTGGAATGGTAGTTGTTGGGGTTTTTGGATGAGATTAAAGGGAATTTGAAAATGTTTTTATTAGTGCATTATAGTTATACATTTGTTCCATTTCAATCTATGTACTTCTACCTTCCCTCCCCTTTTCCCTTCACCTGCTCCCCTTCCTCACTTTGGTACTCTTTTATTTATTTTTTTAAGTTGGTGGTTTACAAATATACATAAAGATATGTTCATGGCATGGTTTTGTCAATTTTATTCCACTATTCTCCCTTTTCTCATCTGTCCTCCCTCCCTCTCAATCCCCTACCTCACTCCACTGATCTGCTTTCTATTTTCAAGATCTTCTACCCTCATTTGTTTTCCATATTTCCTTCTAGCTTCCACACATGAGAAAGAATATTTGGCCTTTGACTTTCTGAGTCTGGCTTATTTCACTTAGCATGATATCTCCAGTTCCATCCACTTAACTAGCAAATGCCACAATTTTATTCTTTATGGCTGAGTAAAACTCCATTGTGAATATATACCACATTTTATTTATCAGTTTTTCTGTTACATACCTTTTCTGGTCCCATAACTGTAAAAAGGGTATAAAGTTTCAGTTTAGAAAGGTGAAAAATTTCTGTGAATGGATCTTGTTGATAGTTTCCTATCAATATGAATTCAATTAATACCATCAAACTGTGAATTAAACCATGGTTGAAATGATAAATTTTTATTATGTGCATTTTACCACATCAGAGAGTATAGATAAAAATAAGATGGCTCATAAATTTTAAAAAGTTATTTCTATGGATATGCTAAAGAAAAATCAGAAGGAGAAGGGTATAGTTAAATATGATTCATCCTGAGACATATTTTTGAATTCACATCACTCCAGACTCCAGGGCATTTCAAAATTTTATTCATTATTAAGCTCATTTTTTCCCATTGTAATGAAATTCTTTATTTGAATAACACCATAATAACCTAGTGTTCATTAAGTGCCAAGGTTCCATTAGGTGGCAAACATGGCCTGGA